GAGGGGCTGTGTTAGATCTGGTGTTTGCAAATGGAGATGGGCTGGTGGGCAACGTGGTGGTTGGAGGCCACTTGGGGCACTGTGATCATGAAATTATAGAATTCTCGATACTTAGTGAAATCAGGAGGAACAAAAATAATACTTTTATACTGGACTTCCAGAGGGCAGACTTTGGCCTATTTAGGAGACTTATTCAGAGAGTTCCTTGGGAAGCAGCCCTTAAAAACAAAGTAGTCCAGGGAAGGTGGATGTCCTTCAAATCAGAGATCTTGAGGGCACAGGAACAGACTATCCCTGTGTGCTGAAAGACAAGTTGACAAGGCAGATGTCCAGCCTGGATGGGCAAGGAGGTTTTGGAGCAACTTAGGAACAAAAAAAGGATGTATCATCTTTGGAAGGAGGGTCAGGTCTCTCAGGAAGTTTTTAAGGGGGCTGCTAGAGCATGTAGGAAAAAAATTAGAGAGGCCAAAGCTCAGTTTGAATTTAAAATGGCAACTTCCATAAAAGATGATAAAAAATGTTTTTATAAATATATTAATGGTAAAAGGAAAGGTAAGACCAACCTTTGTTCTTTATTGGATAAGGGAGGGAACTTAGTAACTGCAGAAGAGGAGAAAGCAGAAGTGCTTAATGCCTTCTTTGTCTCAGTCTTTAGTAGGAAAGCAGCTTGCCTTCAGGACAACTGTCCTCCTGGGTTGGTAGATGGTGGCAGGGAGCAGAATGGTCCCCCCGTTATCCAAGAGGAGGCAGTCAGAGAACTGCTGAGCCACTTGGATGTTTATAAATCCATGGGACCAGATGGGATCCATCCCAGGGTGATGAGGGAGCTGGCAGATGAGCTTGTGAAGCTGCCCTCCATCATTTACCAGCAGTCCTGGCTCACTGGTGAGGTTCCAGATGACTGGAAGCTGGCCAATGTGACACCCACTCACAAAAAGGGTGGGAAGGAGGATCCTGGAAATTATAGGGCAGTCAGCCTGATCTCAGTATCTGGTAAGGTTATGGAACAGTTTATTCTGAGTGTCATCATGCAGCAGGGTATCAGACCCAGCCAGCATGGGTTTAAGAGGGGTAGGTCATGTTTGACCAACCTGATCTCCTTTTATGACCAGGTGACCTGCCTGGTGGATGCTCAAAAGGCTGTTGATGTTGTCTACTTGGACTTCAGCAAGGCCTCTGACACCGTCTCCTACAGTAAACTCCTGGAAAAGCTGCAGCCCATGGCTTGGACAGGAGCACACTTTGCTGGGTTAAGAACTGGCTGGATGGCCAGGCCCAGAGAGTGGTGGTGAGTGGGGCTGCATCCAGCTGGCAGCCAGTCACAAGTAATCCTGTTCAATATTTTTATTGATGACATGGATGAAGGTATTGAGTCCTTCATTAGTAAATTTGCAGATGACACTAAGCTGGGACTGTGTGTCAGTCTGGGAAGGTAGGAGGGCTCTACGGAGAGACCTGGAACATTTAGATGAATGGGCAAAGTCCAGTGGGATGAAGTTTAATAAGTCCAAGTGCTGAGTCCTGCATTTTGGCCACAATAACAACCTGCAACACTACAGGCTGGCAATGGTGTGGCTGAACAGAGCCCAGGCAGAAAGGGACCTGGGGGTACTGGTGACAGCAGCTGAACATGAGCCAGCAGTGTGCCCTGGTGGCCAAGAAGGACAACGGCATACTAGCCTGTATCAGGAATAGTGTGGCCAGCATGAGCAGGGAGGTCATTCTTTCCTTGTATTCGGCACTGGTGAGGCCACACATTCAGTGCTGTGTCCAGTTCTGGGCCCTCAGTTTGGGAAGGACGTTGAGATGCTTGAGCGCGTCCAGAGAGGGCAACGAGGCTGGTGGGGGGCTGGGAACACAAACCCTGTGAGGAAGGACTGAGGGAAGTGGTGTTGCCGCCGATTTGTTTAGTTTTATTAAGTTCAGAGTTGATTTACCCCAGTTGCTCCCCTGTCATCCAAAATGGTTTGTCCCCAGTTGCCCATCAGTGTAAACCCTTCCCCTTTTTCCAGATTGTTCCCCATCCATCACCCCAATCCTACCCCCGAGCCCCATCAATCTATGTAAACCCCACCTTTTGTTCCAGTTCTTTCCTTGCCTGTCATCCCTTCCTCAATGCCCTATTGATTGTACAGTTGCCTTCCCTCCCCCGGGTCCCTGCCATTGGTCTTGCGTATTGTAATCACCACCCACAACTCCTCCCTTGATGCTGTCCCATTGGTCGCTGTATGGGCCGCCCACAGTCCTTAAAACCTGGCGCACGGAGGTGCCCAGGGTCTCGGCTCAGACCTCTTCCCTGCGATCCCAGCCCCGTACCTCGTCTCCTTCCCCTACACCTGTTGGAATAAACTTGTTCCTGGGAAATTGGGAGAGCCTGAGCACTCTTTCTCCCTTCGCCACAACCCGTGTCGCCCTGTGAGCCATAGCGCCAGAGCACAGAGGAGCTCTGGAGGTTCCAGGTTGAGCCACGCAGTGCTCGCCTGGTTCCCCACTCCTGCCGCGGACGTCGGCCAGAGCTAGCCGAGGCGTGAAGGGCCGAGCGGGCAGCGACAGCTGGCGCCCAACGTGGGGCCTGTTGTGAGGAGCAGAGACCCCCAGAGAGGTCGGTGAATCTATGCACTTGTGTGGATTTTACAAAAGACCATGAGAGGCAGCTACCCCAGTAGAGCAGACTCACTTCTGTCGAGTGGCGCTTCCGGGGGTCGAGGCGGCAACCGTTGACGTGCCGACGATTGCCTCGGGGTTGTGGACGTCTCCTGCAGCACCTGTCCAGACTCAGGTGAGTAGTCCCCACGTGGGGGACGAGGGGGTATGCAAGTGTGTGCAGCTTCTCCTGCTGTGTGTTGAGACTCCCTTGGGGAGGGAGTGGGTGTGGTAGCCCGGTCCAGACCCTTACTTTTAGTTCGTTGCGTTAGCCTTTAGCTGCAGGGGGTGGTGGGATTGCTGTGCCGGGGTTAGTAAGATGGGCGCACGTCTGTCGGCACAGCAAAAAAGAGTTTTCTACCAAGTTGTGGGTACCCTTGAGGGGGGAAATAGACGGTTTTCTCACGGGAGGGTGAAACAGTTTGTGAGATGGCTGTTCCTGCATTTCCCCAATGTGACCCCAGACAGAGCGAACACTGTAGAGTTTTGGAATGTGGTTGGAACAAAATTAACAGAGTTAGTGAATGGAGGAGATAAATCAGCTGCCAAATTTGTAACGTTGTTTATTTTAATTCGGTCTGCCTTAATAGAAGAAAAGAAAATGCAGGAGCAGCCGCCACAAACTTCCCCAGTTTCCCCAGTTTCCCCATCCCCGTGTTCCTTTCCCCCTGATCCCGAGTTGAGGGAGACCTGCGGAGCGACCTGCAGGGCAGGCTGTCCTGTTCAGGGCTCCCCCAAGGGTAACAGGATCCCTGGCTCCCCATGTCTCTCCCAGAACCCTTGCCCTGGCAGCCCTGGCCAAGCTGCCAGAGCACCTTCCCATTCCCCCGCTTCCCCAGTTGCCAACCCTCACCTAAACGTTTCCCAGGTTGCAAGTCCCCAGTTTTCACCCTCAGATCCCCGTGCCTCAGTTTCCCCCAGTTTCCAATGTTCCCCTATGTTCCCCTACCCCTCTCCTAACCTCAAAATGGTTCCCGAAAGGCACAAGAGGGTGGGGACCACATGGCTGGGACCTTCCCTTGTGCTCCTTCTCCCCATAATCCTTTTCGTCCCCCAATGAACAACCCTTACCTCCCTAGCTCCACCCTTTCTCCCTACACTAACTCCTCCCAGTTCCCCTCGAGAACCTCCTCCTCCTCAGGGGCGGGCCCATCTGAAGTCATGCACCTAAACCCCGCCTTTTCCGATTGTCGCTCCTCCCCCTTGCCCTCCTCCTCATGCGGTCCTCCGGTCCCGCCCCTTCCGGCTCCTGGTTCCCATGCCCTTTCTTCCGGTTCCCACAGTCCCACATCCGGTTCCCACGCTTTGGGAACCGGAGATGGTAGGCCTGGAAGCCAGAACCCGGAACAGGTAGAAATCCCCCTTGCCGCACTGGTGTCTTTCCATGGAAGGGGAGGGCGGTTCCGGGAATTGGAAGCCTTCTCCTTCCAAACTAAGAGGGAGCTGTGCAAAGCACAGGAGTTCGGGAGGGGTAGCGAATATTTTAAAGGTCTATTAAAAGCTACCTTTTCTGCGAACGAAATGGTGCCCAGTGATCTAAAGGAGTTGTTTTCCTGCTTCCTTTCCACAGCTGACTTCAGGCTGTGGAGACAGGGGTGGAAGAGATCATTGGAGACCATCCTTCCGAGCCTCTTGCGTAGTAATGATACTGCTGTTGATGCAGACGGAGTCCCTCTGACTTTAGATCACTTGTGCGGTGAGGGAGATTGGGACAAGCCAGAGGAGCAGGCCAGAGTATTACCCCGGCCTGTCCTGATTAAAATCATGGAGGCCGCAGAAGAAGTTTTTAATACATTACCTGAGGAGGGACCCCAGATAAATTTGATGAGTATTTTCCAGCTCCTCAATGAACCTTTTAATAAGTTTATCAACAGGTTGCAAGCCCAAGCAGAGAGGCAAGTAGAACGGGTGGATTTACAAGAGCAGCTTATATTAGAAGCGGCAAAAGCCAATGCAAATGACATCTGTAAACAGATAATTTTCAGTTTGCCTCTCTATCCAGCCCCGACACTGGACATCCTCATTGAAGCCTGCACCAAGAAGGTGCCAACGATGGGGATGTCCAGAGCCATCCCACCGCAACCGTTGAGAAGAGCGCCGACTGCAGCAGTGACGCAGTTTCCACCACCACCAGCGCGTCAACCACTGTGTTTCCGCTGCGGGCAGCCTGGACATCTGGCTAGGGACTGCCCGGCAGGGCATCCTGGCCAAGGGAGCAGTGCGGGGGCGAGGGCAAGCAATATTATAATATGAAAAATCTAGGAGAGCGGCGCGAGCCTGCCCCGCGCGAAGTAATAAATGGGGCAGGTCTCGCGGGGGAGGGGGGCTTTTTACATCAGACTTGGACACCTAACCGGATGCGACATCTAACAATCACTAAGGACATCCTCTTTCGGACCCAGCACTGGACAGTAGTTGCTATGGATCCACTGGAGGGAAAGAAGACATATACTGGATGTGACTGTAAGTACATCGCCATTGGGGACACTAAACACACACCCCCAGAGATTGAGATCTCCCCGATCACCTTCCCGGGTGGTCCGGAAGATCTTATCCTCTTAGTGCGCTGCATTCACCCACCATATTTTCTCCCAAAGGGGCAAATCATAGCCCAATACATTCCTGTCCCAGAGGGAGTCCCAGTGGACGACCACGCACCAGGCATCAACTCGGCAGAAGTAGTGGGTGAAGACAAACCCATTGTCGATTGCAGCATCAAGCAGGGTGCGGAATCTGTCAACCTGAGAGGTCTGCTTGATACGGGGGCAGATGTGACGATCATCCCCCAGAGAAGATGGCCGTCACATTGGGAGTTGCAACCCATGGCGGGGAAAATTCAGGGTATAGGGGGTACTCAATTGGCGCAAGTATCAAAGAGCATAGTGCAAATTATGGGGCCGGATGGGCAATTGGCGAACCTGCGCCCATTCGTCGCGGATTTTCAGGTTCCCTTGTGGGGGAGGGACCTTATGTCACAATGTGGGGTAAAGATCGAAATCCCGAAAACCCCTCGGGATTTTTAATAGCGGCCACTGTGGAGCGCCCCTTCCAGAAGCTCGATTGGACCACTGATGAAGCAATCTGGATTGATCAGTGGCCGCTTCGAAAAGACAAATTAAGGGCTCTCAATGAGCTCATGGAGGAGCAATTATTAAAGGGTAATATTGTAGAGACAACCAGCCTTTGGAATTCCCCGGTATTTGTTATCCGTAAGCCGGGGAAGGACAAGTGGCGGCTCCTCCACGACCTTCATGCCATCAATAAGATCATTGTTGACATGGGGCCCCTTCAACCAGGGATGCCTACCCCAACTATTCTCCCCCGAAATTGGGATCTGGCCGGGATTGATATAAAGGACTGCTTCTTTCAAATTCCCTTGCACCCTGATGACGCCCCACGGTTTGCCTTCTCGGTGCCCACCCTCAACCGAGAAGCCCCAATGAGGAGATCCACTGGCGTGTTTTGCCACAAGGCATGAAAAATTCCCCCACCATCTGTCAGTGGTACGTCTCCTCGTTGCTGTCTCCCGTGCGCAAAGAGATGAGGGAGGTCATCATCCATCACTATATGGATGATGTCCTAGTGTGCGCCCCCCATGGCGATCTACTCACCCGATCACTTGACCGAGTGGTTAAGGTTTTAACATCTGCAGGTTTTCAACTCCAGGAGGATAAAGTTCAATGGATGCCGCCCTGGAAGTATCTGGGTCTGCGGATTGCTGAGAGGACTGTTGTGCCTCAAAAATTGGCAATAAACAGCAATCCAAAGACCTTGGCGGACCTTCACTCGCTGTGTGGGACCTTGAACTGGCTCAGGCCTTGGCTGGGCCTTTCCACTGAAGACCTAGCCCCCCTCTTCACACTCTTGAAGGGGGAGAAGGAGCTGAGTTCTCTCAGGATCCTGACCCCAGAAGCGAGGAAAGCCCTGGAGAAAGTAGAGGAGGCACTTGTCGAAAGACAGGCGCATCGGTGCGAACCGACCCTGCCTTTTGAGTTTATTGTGCTCGGGAGAATGCCACACCTCAGTGGGCTGATTTTTCAATGGGACCAGGGCTCCAAGGATCCCCTCTTAATCATAGAGTGGGTTTTCTTGAGCCATCAAAGGTCCAAAAGTGTCACCCAGCCACAGGAGCTGATGGCTCAGCTCATCGGGAGAGCTCGGGCCAGGCTTCGGGAGATGGCTGGGTGTGACTTTGCATGCTTTCGGGTACCGGTCAGCTTGTCTCGGGACAAGGAGACCCCAGATAAGCTGACAAAAGAGATGTTTGATCAGTTACTTACGGAGAATGAGACACTCCAGATTGCTTTGGATAGTTTTGAAGGCCAAGTTTCGGTCCATGCCCCTGCCCACAAATTTTTCAATTCCAAATTCGAACCAATTCCAAAAGAAGTACGGAGCAGGAAGCCCCTCAAAGCCCTGACCGTGTTCACGGACGCATCCGGGGCATCTCACAAGTCTCTAGTGACTTGGAGAAATCCCAAAACTCAGCAGTGGGAAGCAGATGTTCAATATGTGGAAGGATCTCCACAAGTTGCTGAGTTGGATGCAGTTGTCAGGGCCTTTGAGAGGTTTTCTGAACCTTTCAATTTAGTCACTGACTCGGCCTATGTTGCAGGGGTGGTTGCCAGAGCAGAACACGCTGCCCTGAAGGAGGTCTCGAACCCGAAATTGTTCGAGTTGCTTTCTAAATTAATATATACTGTTTCCCACAGGAAGCAACCATTTTTCGTAATGCATGTGAGGTCGCACACAGATCTCCCTGGCCCAGTAGCCAAGGGAAATCAAATGGCTGATTCCCTCGCTGCCCCTGTTTCCATGGCTCAACTCCCCGATCGGTTCCAACAAGCCAAGCTGAGCCACCAAATGTTCCATCAGAATGTGCCTGGTCTGGTCCGCCAGTTCCACCTGCGGCGGGATCAAGCCAGAGCCATTGTGGCCACATGCCCCCATTGCCAAACCACCGTTATGCCCTCTCTGGGGTCGGGGGTGAACCCTCGAGGCCTGGGGAGCTGTGAGGTGTGGCAAATGGATGTAACTCACGTTCCCGAATTTGGCAAGCTAAGGTTCGTACATGTATCCGTAGACACTTTCTCAGGGGCAGTCTTTGCTTCTGCCCATGCAGGAGAGAAAGCCGAGCATGTCTGTAAACACTTCATGCAGGCTTTCTCTGTGCTGGGGGTCCCCAAAGAGCTAAAAACGGATAATGGCCCAGCATACACCTCCAGGAAACTGGAGGAATTCCTGCAGAATTGGGGAGTGACACATAAGAGAGGCATTCCACACTCCCCCACCGGTCAAGCAATCGTGGAGTGAGCCCATCAGTCGCTCAAACGCGTCCTAAAACAACAATGGGAATCAATGAAAGGTTGCGCCCCTCAGGATAGGCTATCCAAGGCGCTGTTTACTATCAACTTTCTGAATTGTAGTGATAGTAATCCCAATCCTCCAGTGGCACTGCACTTTAACTCCACCAGCAACTACGAGCTCAAACATCGCCCTCCAGTGCTGGTCCGGGACCCAGAGACCCAAAAGATCCTGGGTCCGTTCGATCTGGTGACCTGGGGGCGAGACTACGCTTGCGTTTCCTTGCCCCAGGGACTAAGGTGGATCCCACAAAAGTGGGTGAAACCTTATGTCCCGAAACATTCTACCAGGCCACCAGACGAGCAGGAGGATGTCATTGTGTCTGTGCAAGCCACCCCAGTAACCCCCAAGAGCGACGAGGAGGAGGAATGTCTCGAACCCCCTTTCTCTATCGATTTTTTGCTCTCCCTTTATGTTAATTGAAGTATTTGTTTTCCTTTATTTTCAGAGAGCCATCAGAAGGATGACCACCCCGAACGTCGCACTGGCCACCGTGCTCCTGATGATGCTGGTGACCCAGGTCAACACGTGGATCGTGCCCCAACCCAAACAGAATGTTTGGGTCATGCTAGCAAAGTCCCTTCAGCGAGATGAGTTATGCTTATCCACCGGAGCAGCGGGAAATCCGATGACCACGTGCCTGGTGGGGATCCCGTTAAAGCCTGATGAATACCCGGATTCCCTGTTAAATTTATTTAAAGAAGCTAATAAAGGGAGGCCGGCTCAGCGAGTAGTCCGCTCCGCGCCCATCTATAAAATAAAGAAGCCTGTCCAAAACCCCCTCCTTCTGTGGAGGGACTGGCTGGCTTTCTTAGAGCGGGCAACCGCTGAGCCCCAAGAATTTGATTTATTAAACTCCTCTCCCGCACCCTATTGTGTCCACTTTCGTTATTACCCCTCCACTCCTACTCTTTATCCTCAGTTAATCCAGGACAACAAACAATTTCAAGCAGCCTCCTCGTGTAAGAACATTGCTCATGTGAAAATGCCTTCTACCCTTAGTTCTCACCCTCTTCAGTTGCTCAAGGGCATGCTTTTAATTTGTGGGGACCGGGCGTGGGCTGGCATCCCCTCTCGCCTTCTCGGAGGGCCGTGCACATTAGGCCGGTTGTCCCTGTTTGCCCCCAATACGACCCAAATTGAAAACTGGGAGCTAAAGAATAATTTGGCCATCAAGAAGTGCAGTCTGAAGGATCTTAACCCCGACTGTGACTCCAAAATCTTTCATTGGAGCAGACCAAAACGGGTTGCAGTGTCAGTATTTTTGCCATGGTTGGCCGCCGCACAAGCCCTTGGTGAATTAGGACAATTCGAGAGTTGGGTGGTCAAACAAGCCAATTTAACGTCAACTGCGCTGAGCGACCTCCTCGAAGACGAGGAAATAACCAGACGAGCGACGCTTCAAAACCGCGCAGCTATCGATTTCTTACTGCTCCTGCATAACCACAATTGCCGAGAGTTCGAGGGACTTTGCTGCATGAATTTAACGACCAAGAGCACCGACATCAGAAAAACCATCTCAGAGATGAAGGGCATGATCCACCAAATACACCAAGAGACTGGTGACTGGGTCACCAATCTCTTTTCAGGATGGGGTGTCTCCGGATGGCTCTCTTCTGTTATAAGGACTATATTACGGATTGTTTTTGTTGTCTTTATTATTTTGTGTGCATTCGCGGTGTTGCGGAAATGTTTAGTTCAGTCCATCCTTTCTTTGTTATCTCCCCCACCGCAAGTTAACTATGTTGATTTAAACCCTCTTACCCCTCCTCCTCCTCCTCCCTCTCCCGCTCCCGAATGGTTTGCTGTACCCTCTGCTCCCCCAGACCCCGCGCCTTCCTCCTTTTCTTAAAAAAGAAAGGGGGAGATGTTGCCGCCGATTTGTTTAGTTTTATTAAGTTCAGAGTTGATTTACCCCAGTTGCTCCCCTGTCATCCAAAATGGTTTGTCCCCAGTTGCCCATCAGTGTAAACCCTTCCCCTTTTTCCAGATTGTTCCCCATCCATCACCCCAATCCTGCCCCCAAGCCCCGTCAATCTATGTAAACCCCACCTTTTGTTCCAGTTCTTTCCTTGCCTATCATCCCTTCCTCAATGCCCTATTGATTGTACAGTTGCCTTCCCTCCCCCGGGTCCCTGCCATTGGTCTTGCGTATTGTAATCACCACCCACAACTCCTCCCTTGATGCTGTCCCATTGGTCGCTGTATGGGCCGCCCACAGTCCTTAAAACCTGGCGCACGGAGGTGCCCAGGGTCTCGGCTCAGACCTCTTCCCTGCGATCCCAGCCCCGTACCTCGTCTCCTTCCCCTACACCTGTTGGAATAAACTTGTTCCTGGGAAATTGGGAGAGCCTGAGCACTCTTTCTCCCTTCACCACAACCCGTGTCGCCCTGTGAGCCATAGCGCCAGAGCACAGAGGAGCTCTGGAGGTTCCAGGTTGAGCCATGCAGTGCTCGCCTGGTTCCCCACTCCTGCCGCGGACGTCGGCCAGAGCTAGCCGAGGCGTGAAGGGCCGAGCGGGCAGCAACAAGGTGGGGCTGTTTAGCCTGGGAAAAGGAGACTCAGAGGTGACCTCATCACTCTCTACAACTTACTGAAAGAAGTTTGCAGTCACGTGGGGGTTGGTCTCTTTCATCAGACAGCAATGGACAGAATGAGAGGACACAGCTGCGCCAAGGGAAATTTAGGGTGGATGTTAGGAAAAAGTTCTTCACAGAAAGAGTGATAAAATACTGGAGAGGTCTGCCTGGGGAGGTGGTGGAGTCACCATCCCTGGATGTGTTTAAAAAAAGACTGGATATGGCACTTGGTGCCATAGTTTAGTTGAGGTATTAGGGCATGGGTTGGACTAGATGATCTTGAAGATTTCTTCCAGCCTGTTCATGCTGTGATTCTGTGATCTGTGAACACCTGCAAAGGTTGTTTTCCTTCTCTAAATACTGTCTGGATTCCTCCTTGTGATTTCCCAGGCCAGAGTGAGACAGTTACATGCTTGACTTTCCCACAGGCTCAAGCTAGTGCCTGAAGCCTAAAAATCTCTTATTTGACCACTGTCAGTTCCCACAGACATTTATCTTGAGAACTGGGGTGAGGGCGGTTGCACCAGAAATACCAATGCAGTCATCTTCAATATTTAACATTTCATAGAAAGTGTAATACGTGGGACTCAATGACACCAGACCTTATGACATGTTTTGACTTAATATTAACCACTGAATACCCTTAGTTACAGTTGGATTTTAGGCAAGGGCTGGAATAATATGCATTTATTGTTTATTTATTTCATTTCCACCTTTATAGACATCGATGTAATAGCAGTTAGAAGTCAAGAATAAAGTAAAAGCTGATCAAATTAGCCTACATCTAATGTCTTGTTTTGTAATATTGATGGATAATTCAGTATTTTTAAACTTTCAACTGGTATAGGTGAGGAAAAATACTTTTAAATAAAGTGAATGCTGAATAAATTGCAGTTGGTCAATTAAAGCATTTTATTACTACCACATTACCTTCTGCCACTTATAAGAAAATCCAAAGAGTAGAGGAGAAAAGAATGTTTCATTTGCTTAAAAATGAAATCAGTATTATTTGCTTAAAAAATTATCAAATATCCTGGGAATATTGCTGCTTATGTGCAAATTGGACTACTAAGTTAGGATGGCACAAACATGCTTCCCTCCTTCCCCAGGAAACTAAAATCAGACCTATCCTTTATTAACCAAACATAGCAAAATACTCTTTGATCACACCTAATAAAGTATAAAATTCATGAATATGCAGAGGAATTTTAAATGACTGCTGAGCTGGACTCAGCAAATCTTTTGTCCCTCTGTCTTTTTGCAGATGTGATACAGAGATGATTAGGCTCTGGAGTCAATACTTCTGCTGTTTTATTGCTTTCCCCAGTGGGAAGGAGGGCAAAACACAAAATACCCCTTTTCTCTCTCTTTTCTGTCCTCCTTTGATAGTCATAAGTCTTATATAGGAGTAGAATCCAGCAGGAGTTTAAATTATATGAACAAAACTGTGTTCTTCCCTGTCAGCAGCCAAATTGTGGTATAGTGCAAGCCACAGAATCGCACTGTCCCTGAGAACCTTGTCCAGCATCCTGCTCAGTGCAGGATTAGTGCTGAGGTCACATCAGCTGGGTCTGGGCATGGCTCCCTGGAAATCATTGCAGTCACCCTGATTTACATACAGGCTTCTCTAACAGGCAAACCATGTGGTGGCTGCTGTTCGTCCCCCTTCTCATTTCACTGCAAATCTTGCCTGTGATTTGGCTTTGGCCACCTTTTGTTCATGTCATTCGTGACATAACAAAAATGCCCATTGAATTGTTAGTGTTTTGCCTTTGGGCTGTAAGATTGAGTTGTCTGACAGCAGCTTCCCTGCAGCTTTCAGACATTGGCTCCCCATTGTCACCACCATGCAAGCTCCGTTATTAAAATGGTAATAATATTTCCTTCACTTTACAAGCTGTTCAGATGTTGCTCAAAGGCTCCACTGTCAAAAATCCTTTCCTGTTTACATATCTCTACAATCTCCTCTTAACCAACTCATCTGCCACTTTCTAATTAGCTCTAATAAACTTTAAATTCTTTTCCAAGGAGCTGGTCCTCAGCTGGATGAGTTGTCACATTCTCATACTGATGAAGATTGAATAGTTTTCTCTCTAGCTTCCTTGGCCTTAGAGATGGACACAGTATGTCCCAGAAACAGAAAACTCTTTTACTGAAGCAGCAAATAGTACAATTTGCGAAGATTTTCCTTCTTGAGATCAGGTTAGGGAAAAGAGGAGATAGCAGGTCTTGATTTTATAAAAGGTGGGTTTTGATCCTGAGACATATACGTTTTATAGATGCTTGAAGAAGAGTAAAATAAATCATAATGTACAGAAAACTTCTGCTTGTGTTAGAACAAAGACTTTTCTGTTAAAACTGTTAAACTATTAAAACCAAATATAACAATATGAAAATTAAGTAACACAGTCTCTAACTGGCTACTACTGGTTGGAAGTTGTAGGACTAAAGTTGCTAAAATATTTGACAGTATTCATAAAGTTGTGTGATTTTTAGATAGAAGAAGAAGCATGTTATCTACACACTCTTCAAAAAGCAATGTGAGTGAAGGAAAATGGTACAGAAAGCAACAGAGATAATACAAATATTGCCCACATCTGAAAAAAAACAATTTTATAGTGCTAACTTTATTTGTGTTGGTATTTTATAATACAATTTCACTGATAGATTATCCATTTGTTTTGAAAGTTTGAGTGTGTCAGATAATTGCAATTAAGAAATTAGAAATCTGTTGATGCTTTTACTATGCCTGTGGACAAACATCTTACGTTTGTGCTCCTGCAGTTCTGTGCAGTAAGAGAGGGGAGATCTCTTGTGGACATGATTTTCTGAACCTGAGAGAA